CGGCGAAGAGATACTGCTGCGTATGAGCATGTTGGAATCGCGTGAACTTTTGTACAAACTAAGAAGAACAACTCTGCTGCAGATATACTTTCAGTTATGGGCCCTTTACAAGGACGTTTTGAACTGGATCTGTGATGTCAAGTGTCAGCGGCCGAAGAAGGACGAGAAAGAGGTGAGCAATAGGCCTAACGCTCTTGGGCAGCTCGAGGCGACAAACATGTCTCAGAATTGCCAGTTCGAGGGTCGACTCCGGATGGAGAAGAGTCTGCAGGAGGCTGATTCAGGGAAGTCTCGACTCATGCTGGTCATTCAACTCTCGAACCAACCCGGTAACATCGTTCATGTGCCATTGGTTCTGGGATTTCCGCATCTGGGTTACTTAGTAGAGCAGAACGCGCAGGTCACAGGCGTTCAGTCAACCTCAGTTAATATTACCTGCCACAAACAAGCCGACTAGTTCGTGTGTCAGCCTACCTGACGCCAATGCAGCGAATAACCCCAACCGATGCCTGAGCAGGCGGAAAACGTTTTCCGCCCCCAAATCGCTCTTGCCTGTGCCATTTTATCCTCTTAACCCAAGTCTACTCAGAAGTGTTTATGCCTGTTCATTTCTGCTTGAAGTTAACGGCAAAATAGAAGCAAATTGTGCACTATCTCTTCTTTTTCTTTCCTTGGCCTCCTAATTGCTGGTTAAAATGAAAATTGTAACCGGTGCAGAAGACGGTTGTGGCTAGAGGCGGACGACACGAGATGCAACAGAATAAGACAGTTGCAACTAACCACATACCTCGCAAACATTTTTAATGCTAGACAGGCAAATAAATTCCTCTCGTCAAAACAGTTATTCGGAGGTTTTGGGTTATTATTGTGGGAAAATGCTACTACCAATCCTTCATCACCTTAGACGAAATACGGTGAATACATCTCATTGCACTGATTTACTGGTAGTCTCGAAACCCTACTCTAACAAGAATCCCATAATGTTTCACTGTGACATGACTTTGCGTTTCGAAGGAAATGTTACCATTAATTTGTCTGCCACACGACAGACGAGAGCTTAGCTCTGGTTCACCCGCGTCGCAGGACGGTGAGCTTCCATACAACTTCTCCTTCCAAAAGGAAGCCATGTCACCAGATTGCCATTACAGGTCGCATGTTCTCCATCCACCTCGTTTACAACGTCCCACCTCCGTCGCACTTTGCCCAGCTTATGCGAAAGTTAATATGATGCGAACGCCAGGTCCCAAGCAAAGTGGTCTATACGTCTGCTTTGCTGCAAATATATGCTTCGCTCTATTGTATTTCGAAACTTTCTCTGACACAGGTAGAGGAATCAGCAGAACGGATAGGTCCTATGAAAAATCATTTTCCTCAATCTCCTCGTCTCCTAGTACCGGTGACTATCATCTGCAACATGCAGACTCGTTGATTGCAGGCAATTCAATTTTTCGTGTCAACACTCATTACAACTAATTTAACGTCATGTGCCATCGATGTGGTAGATACTTTTGGCATTGTATCACTATACGAAGAAAAGTTGGGTTTCAAGGAATCTCTTGTTTCATAATTGTTGGGATTACTTCCATTTCGAGT